AATAAAAAATGGCTCAAGATTCTGCGACCACTACTACTCCTTCTCCGCCGCCACTTTCAACCGCCGACGATTCGATGCCGAATCATTCCGACATCAAACCTCACCTTCCTCTGTCGCAACAAGACCAAGCCACGAAACTGGTTTTGAAGGAAGAAGAAGAGCCAAAGATGGTAACTTTGGAGCCAGAGTCACAGGAGCTAATTCATCCATCGTCGGAGTCACCGGAGCCAAATCCGAAGCTAGGGTCTCAGCCTGAGGGTCCCAACCACGCGGTGGAGGATTCTTCAGAGAAGCCACTTAGAGTGACACCGGAGACAGTAACTTCGGAGCCAGAGGAGCTTAATCACGCGGCGGAGGATTCTTCAGAGAAGCCACATAGAGTGACACCGGAGACAGTGACTTCGGAGCCAGAGGAGCTTAATCACGCGGCGGAGGGTGACTCAGAGCAGCCACGTAGACATACGCCGGAGACAGAGCAGCCAGAAACAGAACTAACACAGAAACTGATGTTGGAGCAACGGAAAAAGTATACAGAGGTAGAAGATTGGACAGAGCCAGAACCACCGGACGCGGCGGTGTTAGAAGCTGCAGCGTTGGAGTCTCAAGCCCCTGAAGTGGCTGCACCACCAGCTCCTACTGCTTCCATGGAATCTAGATCGCTAGCGGAAATGATGAACAGAGAAGAAGCTGAAGAGAAACCAAAGATTCAGATTCCACGTAGTCTCGGTTCTTTCAAAGAAGAAACCAACAAAATCTCCGACCTTTCAGAACACGAGTTAAACGCTCTTTACGAGCTCCGACACATCGTTCATGAATCAACAACAACCGGCGATTCCGGCAAAACCTCCATTTGGGGTGTGCCACTTCTCAAAGACGACCGAAGCGACGTCGTTTTACTGAAATTCTTGAGAGCAAGAGATTTCAAACCGCAAGAAGCTTACTCAATGCTCAACAAAACACTCCAATGGAGAATCGACTTCAACATCGAGGAGCTTCTCGACGAAAACCTCGAAGTCTACGATCTAGACAGGGTTGTGTTCATGCAAGGACACGACAGAGAAAACCATCCTGTCTGTTACAACGTGTACGGTGAGTTTCAGAACAAGGATCTTTATCAGAAAACGTTCTCGAGCGAAGAGAAGAGAGAACGGTTCTTGAGATGGAGGATTCAGTTTCTTGAGAAGAGTATAAGGAATCTTGATTTTGTTGTAGCTGGTGGTCTTGTTTCAACGATCTGTCAAGTAAACGATCTTAAGAATTCTCCAGGACCTGGTAAGACTGAGCTCAGGCTAGCTACTAAGCAAGCTCTTCACCTTCTTCAAGACAATTACCCTGAGTTTGTCTCTAAACAGGTATATAATAAAATCTTCCTATAAAAACGAACAATAATGTCTTTTTTTCTCAATCTGATTTTCCTTAGATCTCATATCCTAAGATGTTGAATTTTGTGATCAGATATTCATCAATGTTCCATGGTGGTACCTTGCCTTCTATAGGATTATTAGCCCTTTCATGACACAAAGATCAAAGAGTAAACTTGTTTTCGCAGGTCCTTCAAGATCTGCAGAAACTCTTTTCAAGTAACTATTAGAATCTTTGAGTTTTTTTTTTTGTTTTCCTAATTGTTTACACAAGTATTGGAAATGTAAAACACATTCTTGTGTCTTTGGTTTATAGGTACATATCACCAGAACATGTCCCGGTTCAGTACGGTGGACTAAGTGTGGATAACTGCGACTGCAGCTCGGATTTTACGCACGATGATATCGCCACTGAGATTACCATTAAACCGACAACCAAACAAACCGTCGAGATAATTATTTACGAGGTAAGACCCTTTTTGTGTGGACATTTTATAGAATGTTTCGGTAGGCCATTTCATCTAGGTGTATCGCCATTTGGAGTTTTCTTACAATTGTTTCCTCAAAAACACTTTGGCTGCAGAAATGTACGATCGTGTGGGAGATAAGGGTAGTAGGATGGGAGGTTCTGTATGGAGCAGAGTTTGTGCCGGAGAACAAAGAAGGATACACAGTGATCATCCAGAAACCGAGGAAGATGGCTGCGAAAGATGAACCGGTGGTGTCTCAAAGCTTCAAAGTTGGAGAAGTTGGCAAGATTTTGCTAACCGTGGATAACCCGAATTCGACAAAGAAAATGCTTATTTACAGGTTCAAGGTTAAGAAGCCTTTGCCGTGTGAGTAACAAAACTTGCATCTTTCTTTCAAGTGTTTCTTAGTTTAGAACTTTATCATCCGATTATTGGTTGTGTTTTTTTTTGTTTCTATGTCGCCGACTTATATGTTTGTTGTGTTCTGTTTGCTAAATTCTTTTATTTAGATTGTTCTTTGGTCTCATATCTCCTCAGTTTGCTTCCTTAATGCTTGGTCTCATATATCCTAAGTCATTTTTTTTTTTTAAGGAATAAGTGTATTTTAATAGAATATAAAACTGTTAAGAAATTGGTGATTATTCATCAATCCTTGACACTAAGTTTATCTAGCTTATAAACAAGTGTCATCTACATAAGTTTGACACAAATGAGACACTAAGCAAGCTTTATCTATGTCCAAGTGTCTTTTTGCATGTAATTTTCTTCTCTTATATATATGCAAAGGAGAAGCTTAAGAGAACACACAAGAAACAAACACATGAATAAGAAACAAGGATTTCATATCTCTATTAAAAGCTCTTCCTCTTTTTTCCTCTTTGTATATATATATTGTATCAAGATCATAAAGTAAAACATATATATATATACCTCCTCAAATATAGATTAGTATAATTTGTATAATATTTCACAACAATAACAAACTTTGTTGATTACTATGAACCAGAAAACAGAGTTTTCAAGAGCCACATGAGTTATTTTTGCTATCGAGTTAGTTATAACATTGGCTTAAAGAATCAAATGGTTCAATTGACCCCAAAAAACCAAAAAAAAAAAGAAATTGTTCTTTTCGGTTAAGACCAGCTCCTCCAACTGCATAACTTTAAATATGAAATATTTTTAATACTCTAATGATACTTTAAAAACTTCAAAATTAAAGTTTTATATTTGTTGTTGTATTTCGGTCTTTATAATTACACTAGGTGTTTTTATCAAGGAAATTTTGGTGGTCCTCCCAAAAAGAGAAGGCTAAGCTTAATTCGATTTCATGGGATAAGATAACTAATCCCAAAGATCATGGTGGATTGGATATTAGAGAATTTAAAGATTTCAACATCGCTTTACTAGCCAAGCAAAGCTGGAGAATTATGCAAAATCCAACATCTTTGTTAGCCAAATACTATGCTAATACATCTCTTATGAATGCCTACCAGAAAATGGAACTCAAGTTTTGCATTGGAAACCATTGACCATTGGAAAGGCATTTTACAAGGAATAAGGTGGATTGTTGGGAATGGGGAGTATATTAAAGGTCAATGGTTTCCAATTCATCCATCTTCTCTTGTAAAAAGAGATGGAACAGCTCTATATCCAGATATAAAGGAAAGATCTTTTTTTTCCAATAATTGTTAACTTTGTTGGATGTTCTGTTACGGTATGATAACGCCTACCTACTAGAATTATCAGTTTGACGGAAAAAAAAATGGAATGTTACAGTCAACTCTTTTCTTTGATTGGTATTTTTATGGTAACTGTTTTCTTTTTTGTCTAGTTGTAGAAAACACATGTTATTTTTCTTAATATATATAAATTAATTATTTTGATCAATTGTGTGACTGATACTAATGATAATGATGGATATGAATCAGATGATAAGTTTAAGATGCAATAATAAGCAAACTGTCGCCATGATTTCGATGTGAAATGTTTGATTAAACAACAACCAAAAAAAAAATATAAAATTGAGATTGATCAAAATTACAAAAAACATTGATTGGATGAAAGTAAAACGGAAAAAGAGGAAAATGAGTTACTCCAAAAAACAAGATTGAATAAAAAATAGAGTAATTAGTAATAAGATTTATGGACAATTACAAAAATGTTAATTTTTGTATACACATTTAGGGATGTTAATTTACAAAAATACCATTAATAATCATTTATAAAGTCTATATCTTAAAATTCTAAACCCTAACAAATATTTTGACACCTAAAACCCCCTAAACACTAAAAAATAAACCATAATAGAACATAATTAACCCAAATATAAATACTATAAACAAAAAGATAATTTTTAAAAAATGGCATTTTTGTTAAGATTTTAAAAATGTTGCATTTTTGTAAAGTGACACTAAAGTGGCATTTGTTTTAAATTTCTCTAAGATTTATCCTTGTTAGTCTAAAAATAAAATGCATAATCCATTCACAGCCATTATCTACTACAAGTCTACAACTATGAACA